TACGTTCTTCCCGCTGATTGGGTTGCGCTTCTTGTTGTTTTCAAACTTGACGGTTCTGTTGAGTTTTGGTTCGGCATCTGCGTACAGCGCCTTCTCTACTACAGTGCGACGGGTTTCGTACCCGTTTCCGTATGGGTTAGTCTCTGGGTTCATGGGGACGGGGTGCGTCTCCTCGAGGACGATAGAAGTTTCGTCAGGATTGTAGGAGTCGATCGAAGGATCGATGCGGACGGCGAAGATATGTTGGTGATTCTGTGCTAGGACACCCGGCGCGACGACATTTCCGTAGCTGGAAGTCTTGCCTTCGTCTATAGCCACCACGCTCACGATACCTGTGGCTCGGGTCTCCACGGTGATGCCGCCTGCTGTGTCAAGCTTGTAGGCGAATACGTACTCGTAATTTGCGAGTGTGGCGACGAACTGGACGACGAACTCCCGCAGTCGCGTCACGACGGCGCGGTCTGTGCGGAAGTTGGTGTGTTTCCAACCGATACCTGCATACACGTTAGTCAAACCAGCAGAGCTTTTTCACACTTCAACTTACCGTTGTCTTGCTCGTGAAGACAGACAACATTCTTGGCCGTCTCCGGCTTCCCGTCGGTGCCAGCAACAACAGCACTGAGATAATGGATAGCACCAAGACAATCACATCCGAGTTTCAAGTTATTCGCAGCGCGGCCGATTCCGCCGTCTCCAAAGTCAAAGGCTTGCTTACGGTGAAATGGCGGGCGAGGGTCGCCGTATGGCACTGTCATCTCCGAGAAGGAAAGACGGTGCAAGATGGGTCGATTGTCATAGCAGAGATCGTATAACACCGCACCCTCTCTCGGTGTGAATCCGATGCGGAATCGCCACTTCTGCCACTCGACGAGATTTTCGGAGTCAACCTTGAATGAGGCGCCTTCAGGTTGGGTGACATTGATGGGCTTCAGATCTGTGCGCAGTGGTCTGTCGAGGAGGTCGGGCGCATACTCAGCAGATGTTGCACTCTGGAAAAGCTTCTTAGGTTTGTCGCCGCGTGGCTGTGGTGCAAGGCCATCCTCCGAGCCACCTGTCGCTAAGCGGTCAATTCGGATGAGCTTCTTCGTCGCTACATCCATGACAGGGATGATTGGCACCGGGTAGGCATAGTGATTTGAATCATCATTATTGCTCGTCGTATCGCGGGCGAAGACAAGTCCCTGCATGTACCGAGGCACGTCCTCCTCCGGGTCGAGACCACCGTATGGCCACGGGTCAATGGTGATCTTGAAGTTCTCTGGCAACTCGAATTCCTCCATGGCCTCTTTAAACATGTCGGACGATACACATGCGTCCTGGAACATGGCGAATTCCGGCATTGTGTAGCTTGTCTGGTACCGGGGCGCGAACTCCTTGCTGGCGTAGATCTGCCCCGCCTCGACGTCCACAATCGTCTCGGTGAGCTGGAATACGCCATCTTGCACGACGTCGTAGAGCAACTTCACGCGCCTTGTAGGTGTAGTCGGTGATTTCTCGCCTGCGTGTTCGGCGGCGAGATACTGCATGAGCTCTTCTCTCTTGGGCTCGTCGAAATAGGCGGATCTGAACACACAGCCGATGCCGTCCCCACTGTGCTTGTCGATGACGAGACTGCGGGCGCGCAGTAGCTCATCTTCTGACAGCGGCCGCAGCGGGTGTGCCCCGAATTGTGTGTTAGACATTATTTAGGCCTGACGGACGGGAGCAAGACGTTTTGGCTAAGGTAGTACTATAGTACCGTAGATGTGGTGTATAGTCTCTTTGTTGAATAGCCCGTCGGGGTAAGAGACAGGGGAGCAAGGGAGAGGTGCCCAATTTGAACCCCAAAACTCAGTTGAAACAGCGCCGATGTATGTGGGATGGCCGGCTCTCAGACTTTAAATAAGTAATCTACCGTAAGAATGAAGAGCGTCCTATATCGCGGGCGTGCTTATCATCGCCCCGACTGTATGTCTTTCTTGGCCAGCGCCGAATCCCCAAATCAGGTAAGAGGATGTCAAACACAGCGTCAATAAGCGGGTGGTAGCCGATAGCCAAGTGGTGCATCATTGATTCCCCCAATGACTAGTTGATCTTAGGCTGTAATGGGCAAGTCCTTGCGAGCCGGGCCACGACTAAGAATCCGTCGTTGCGACACAGATAGGTCAGACACTCCCGAAGCCTTGGCGCTTCGGATTCCGCTCACGGCATCCGCCGTTATCGAACTCGGATCTTCATCTCCGATACGTACAACAGGGCAAGATCATGTCAATCTGCCTATCCGCGCCGACGAGAACGTCAGAGAGATGTACATTGAGAAGCTAGTGTAAGTGCCTATTCACATCCCCAAATGAACATTGAAGATAACCCCAGACGAGGTCGCATCCGGAGTGGCGTGGAAGCGGGATGGCAAGAGAATTGGGCGCCGATCCGAGCCGCACCCCCCATCATCACCATGCATGCGATGCAGCCACTGGCCCGCCGTTGCGACGAGAATGCCAGCGCACTGGGGTAGGACAAGATGCAAGTCATACTGCCGCGCGCTGTTACGTCGGAATTCCATCTAATCGCTATTGGCCACAAACCTCTCCGACATCACTACAGCAGCCAGCTCTATATATCCTCGAGTCACACGCCATCGGAATGGATGGTTTGTCGTGACTCGTGAAGTACTGATCAGGGGGCCTGATGGCGCCGGGACCGAGCACGTGGCGGCCGGTCAGCTTGATGAGGATGTGTCACGATTGCGAGACTAGATGTCATTACATGTTTGAGACATCTAGTAACACAGGAGCGATGTGTACAGGTCTGATTGTCTGAAGTCTATTTACTCAGAAGTTGTCTTTTCTACTCCTATATGATATAAAACTTTTATTCTCCGAATCCCTACGGTCAAGTCAGCTTGCGAAGAAGGCGAGTATGTATGAATGTAAGATGGCAACGTACCAAACGCCATTATATGCATGCATATGCTTAGATGTAGCCCTTGAGAACAGCGGCTTCGGCATTTAGTATCGAGGAGCCGGCGGCACCGATGACAGCTACGACATGTCAGTATCGAGGTCTGGGTGCGACCATTCAAGGCAGATAAGGGCGTACTGTTGTGACTTAAAGCAACAAACTTGATGTCGAAGATGCCACTCTCGTCCTCTCTCACACGGCCAACACTGACGGTGTATCCACGGCTCAGATCGCGGTCTAGTCTTGGTTGTGGCCTATCAGGCTCATCAAAGACCTTGATACTCGGTTCCGGTGCGCTCGGGCACCCCAATCTTTGAGCTTCAGACACGTACTCCCTGAGTGCGGCTCTGACGTCTTCTTCCTTTGGAGGGGGTCTGTTCTTGAAACGCAGAGATACACATGCGGTGTGTCCGTCGAGAACCGCCACTCTGTTGCAAGCGGCCGAGACGCGGAGCTCCTCCTGCTCGACGAAGGCCGTAGCATCTCCATTCATGCCACCCAGGATCTTCCGTGCCTCGGTCTCGAGCTTGTCTTCCTCGCCGCTGATAAAGGGAACGACGTTGTCCATGATGTCCATACTGCTGACGCCAGGGTAGCCGGCACCCGACACGGCCTGCATGGTGACGACGCTGACGGTATCGACGGGACCGAAGCGCGCTTGCAGAGCTGCAAAGGGTATGACGAGCCCGATGACAGCGCAGTTGGAGTTGCAGACGAGGAAACCCTTCTCTAGGCCGTGGTGTTTTCGCTGGTGGGGGATGAGGTCGAGATGTGGCAGGTTGACGGTCGGGACGACGAGGGGCACGAGGGGATCGCGGCGGTAGTTCTTTGCGTTGGAGAAGACGGCGAGGTCGGCTTTGAGGAACTCCATCTCTAGATGCAGTTGTTAATCGGGTAATTCCAGCTTGAACGCTTCAGACGAGCTCGAGCGCAACTCACCTACGTCGCCGGCGACATCAGAGTCTAGCCCACTGAAGACGACATCGCAGTCTGCGAACTCGCTAGCCTTGCACTCCTTGACGATGAGCTCTCCAACGGGGCCCATGGGAGAGGCCTGCTTCCAGCGAACGGCGTCCTTGTATTTCTTGCCGGCCGATCTCGATGAGGCGCCGACAGCATGGAGAACGAAGTGGGGGTGTTGCGAGAGCAGAAGAATGAAGCGTTGGCCGACGGAGCCAGTGGCACCAAGGACGCCTGGAACATGAGTATCTGTTTAGCAGGTGATGATTTCAGGGTCTCGTCGGTCGAAGCAACATACCGCACTTCTTGGTGGCGAATTGGGACGCCATGTTTGTCGTGAGGATTCAATTGAGGAATGCTATGCCCGGCCGGCCCAATTGAAGCAGAATCAGTTCAGAATATAGACCTGAAGAAACAGAGTAGGCAAATTCGAATATATTGTTGATATCGTGATGCGTCTGCACGCCAAATGCCAGGAGATTTCCGGGACAGCAAAAAAGTCAACCCCGCGGTCGCTGTGTCATGCCCCGCCATCCGCTATCGGATCGAACGCCGTCGTCGCCGTCCCAGCCCATGTTTGGACCTCCGGGGATCAAACTGCCTGCGGCAGCGACATCGATATGAAGTTTCTAGAGTGAGTTTAAGAGTGACGAGGCTATCAAGTAAAAAAAGGGAACACATTTTGTATCTTGATTGGCTGTGCGGCGTCCTTGTTTCTGCGCGTTGTGTAGCTTCGAGTGTTCGGCAGCTTACACTGGAGGTAGAGATGCGACAGGCTCGCAAAATACTAGGTATAATTACCGCTCACGATTTCAAGCATGTTGATGCAAGTTGTCTTTCACCATGTAACATATAGTCAAATAATCCGAACTTTTCAACAACATCAATTTCAATGACTGTGATCCGACTGCATGTGCCATCTCGTTTGTGCCGTCCTCCCACACGATAGCCTTCTACCTAGACACACGGTCGCATATCCGAATTCTCCGCCAGCAACAAAAATTTAGGGTCCTGCAACCCATCGCAAATCCCGCGTTGAAACAGTAAAAAAGATAAGCTGTTTTACAAGAGTAGTAGTGAAGAGAAAAAAGAGAATTGAATGGTCCACATGAGGGTCGAACTCATGACCTTCGCATCACCGATAATCCATCGCTGGACGATAGTCCATGGCTGGAGTATTAGTACGACGCTCTAACCAACTGAGCTAGCAGACCTGATTGGTTGATATTGGCATTCTTATTATGTTTGCCTATCAATGCTCGCGGCCCAAAGCGTGGTTCATACGAGAGAGCAAGTGGGTGGGCATGGTGGAGCGGAGTCGTGTTTCCGGGTAGTGCGTTTCGTAAAGGGGTCTGTCCTGCTTGCATTGTTCATGAAGGCATCAGGCTAGGTTGTGATTAAATGGTCAGCCCATTGCTATTCAACCTGTACCTGATTATCTATTGTCCATATCGTATCTCCGTAGATTACAAAAATACATCTCGGCTACCATTCAGCACCGATCCTCCCATGTCCATCTCAATTATTGAAATCTAACTTACTACCTTATACAGCCAAGCACTTGAGCCCCACGTCAACACCAGTGTCGCTAATCGCCTTGACACCAGATAGACCAAGCAGAACAATTGCATCCCGATCCCCTGTCTGGTCGTAGATCAGAAGATTCCCAATACATTCGTAAGCGGTTGCGTGCGCGGCTGCGTATATGGCATAGCGTAGATTTGAATCACTGGCATTCTTACACTTCCCCAGGAAGGGTTCAGCTGCCGCGACACCTGCACCAGAAGCACTCTTCACGGCGGTGACCGAGCGCAGGCGCAGAGTGCTGGTAGTCATATTGTCTTCTGTGAGCAATTCCACAGCATCGTGACTACAGGCTGTCGCAGCGGCTGTCGCGGCCGCGGAAAGTGCATTTAAGATGGCTGGAGAGACTGTCTGACGAGTCGGAACGGGAACTGGTGCTTTTGAATTGACGTTGGTGGCCGTTGAGACAGGTTGTGGGGGGCATCGTCTGAGGCGCCCTCGGGCTCAGGAGCCGCGCGACACGCGCCTCGACCGATTGCAGGCCAGATTGAGTGGAATTCAGAGGGCTGTAGCCTGAAGCGTGTCGATATTGTGAGCTAAATTCTATTGCAGTAAAAATAATGTTTTGGGTTTACACCACTGAAGTCATGGCATTTTCAGAAGCGCTGTATTGCAGTGTCGGTATAGTCTTATTAACACCTTAGTCATGGGACTATCTGCGCACAATCTCGTGACAATATAGTTCTTGCTAATCAGAAGACATTCGCTGTCTTCGTTGTCGTGTTCGAACTCTGTTCTTCCAACCTGACACTCATTCGTCCAGAAACGTATGTCCAGCTTTGAAGCCATCAAAGATCGCATATTTGATCGCACCTGGACTGAAATCGACAATGGCTGCCTTGTGATAGAGACAGAGACCAATGGCTTCATCTTCGGCGTCATTTACAGTCATTTCAGACCCCGGCCGTGAGATATCGCGGGACAAGATATCCCATAAGGTGCCGTCCTTGACAGAATTGGCAGCCTTGCTTGCAGTCGTGAGAATGGCATCCTTCACCTTCCAGTCGTCTTCATATCCGACGCTCGCCGCATACGGGTCGGCATATTTCACTGCTTCGTCGATTGCCATTCGGGCCACCCTTTCCTTTTCGAGCAACAATTTCTCCTTGGTATCAATTCTTTCTTTTCTCAACCGCTGCACGACAACGCGGGCAGTGGTCTCTGCCGCGAGGGTAGCGGCTCTGTAGAGGGCGTGGAAGACGCCGGGGTGATATGTATGACCCACTGGGACCTGCAGTTCTGGGGATAGAGTTATATGCCGGTCATTGTCTTGGGCCACTGCGCAGGCCGAGTAGTGAATACAGCCCAACATGGTGTGTAGCTCAACCCAATGGCCACACGACCTCGTGTGGGTGAATCCCGAGATATCATGGACAAACTCCGAACCGGACATGTTGTCGATAAGAATGGGGTCGTAGATTGGGAAACTCGTCGTTCAGACTTGTATGACAGTCCGGATCAAATGTCGTCAGTCAGAAAGCCTGTAAAAAAGCTGAGGTTGACAGACTGTGTGTGGGGATGTGGTACGGAGGTCTTCCGTTGATGGTTGGGCACGATTCTTTTCGGGGGAAAGTTGGAAAATGAAAAAGTCGCAAAGATGGAGGTTTATATCTTGCTATAAAATCTATGCTGCAGCGGTCAGTGAGGATTGGCTAGTGCGAGGCAAATCTCTCATAGTAATTAACTCTAAGGCTAATTTGCGCTTTTATGTGAACAATAGGTTGAAAAATCATGGCTCACGTTGACTTTGCGACTATCGTTTGAGACTAAACCTTTTATCAACGAGCACAAACACGTAATTTCAGCTTCCTGTAATTGCAGGGAACACGACTATCTTTTCGAGATGCATACTCGTATAGAGTGCATTTGGCATGTGCTAGGGTATATGACAGAAGGTAACATCATGATGCTTGATGAGTGGATGATAAAGTGAAGGGACGTTTCAATGACGAGGGGATTGAAAGAATTATAGACACATGATGTTGTATATACTGAGAAGCCCCTCCAAATAGAAAATAATACAGTATTAATGCTATATAAACTTGTAGCGTTGATTGATTTAATCGGTAGCCCTAGCTAGGTTCATTGGGTTGCAAATTGGTACTTGGTCTTTAGTTGCCCGCACCGACTTGTAAGAACACGGTCAAAACGGCAGCATATCTAGACAAATATGAATTTGAGTACGTCCAGGGAAACGAGCATTTGAAGAAGATGAATACATACGCCGCAGTAGCTCCTAGTGCTTCCAGTGGTTTCGTCACAAGTGTGAAAGACAGCGTCACTAGAAAGATTGCAACAAACACTGTGATCACCGCAAGTTTCGATGCCGTGCTCTGAAGTGCATACAGAATCCAGAGTGGTGCTAGAAGCAGGATCCCCCCAGAGCCCACGATAAGGCTCGTGACGAATGTATTCTTGCGTTTCTCTGAATAATAAGTGACCTCTTTCTCACTTTCGATGTCGTTCATCCGCCATATTGAGAGCGTTCGTAGGCGACGAGATTTATCGATGAACTCGCGTAGCGGTAGCTTGTCCTTTGGCACAACTCCAATAAGATCATCATGATCTAGGTATCTCTGCTCTTCTGGCGAGATAGCTGCGTAGTCGTGGTTGAAATGCCAATTACATAAAGACTGGACATCACTTTTTGGAGCTTTACGGAATCTCTTCATTGCTGCTTGTTGCAACACGAACTCATCTAGGAATTGTGAGCATGAGTGCCAATGATCAACTGTGAGCAGAAGCTTAGCCTTACTGTAGTCCTTCAGCCGTAGCCGGATCTTTCCTAGGAGAGCCTTGCGGTCTGGTTGATCTTCGCGAAATGAGCCGTTGTGAATGTCTTCTGAGCTCTTTTTGCTATTAATATGGTCCATTGCTGCGAGTTCATCCTCTAACATAACTATCTCGTCTTGAAGGAGCAGCGCAATCCGAACGTTAAGCCGCGCGAATCGCCTCAAAATGAAGAAGTCATCTTCAGAGGCTACAAGAGTGGCATAGCTAGGATAGCCTATATATTTCCACGGCTTGAGATCGATATCCTCTCTTGTGACGACATTGCCCAGGTCGACATTAGTAGGTGAGATACATGCTGAGTCTAGTGCTGTAGTTGAAGAATGACCGGTTTCGTCTGTTGCTTTTGCAGACATATTGAATCTGGAATCATTGCTACTGTCTCATGCCGATGAACATTCGATCTCTAGCCATTCGTGTTCTATGTAGGAAGAAGGTGACTGGGAACAATCCCCGCACTTTCCGGTTTTTACACATCTAGGCCGCCCATGCAGATTCACGCAACCTGCGTGGTCAGTACCCCAATTATGGAGGCACTGCCACTCTTCGACACAAGACACCTGCAGGAAACAAACTCTCGTGCGACTCAGAATCAGGCATAGTTCTATTCATCAGCATAGCCACAACTCCGAAAGGTCTACTTGGTGGCCTCCGAACAACAATCATGGTTTCCTCGTCCAACTTCCTGCCATTCACACCACACTCATCAAACATCCCACCAATCCTTTACTATCTTAAACAGAACATTTTGTCGAAGCCTATATATCAGAGATCTCTTTTTCCACTCTATAAAAGCAAAAGGTCCTGCGAAGCACCAAAGCAACCGGGGATTTGATCGCAAGTTAGCGCACGTCATTGGTTGATAAGCAGATCACCAATCTGAAACCCACAATCTCCAACTATGCCTCCAACGGCCACCAATATACCTCGCAAACACGAACTCGACTACAGTCCGGAGTTAATTCGCGTCGTCGAATCCCGATTTGGCGCGGACTTCGTCAAACGTCTCCAGGGTGCCGAGGTAGTGCGACGAGTAGATCGACAAATGGGAGCCATAGCGCCGCCCAGCCCACGTATCTGGACGTCGGATAAACACAAAACACCTCAAATACCAGATCCAGCCATGTCGGTCGCTCGTAAAGCAGTGGATAAGAGGAAAGCGGACGGAAAGAACTCGATCAAGAGGGCGTCGCCGGGCTCACGTCGTTGGAGTTACATGTGAGCTGTCACAGTTCTGACTGTAGGTAGGTCCAGTAACTATTGTTGTCATACAAGGAAAAACAGAAGTAACTTTCTAAATAGGGGCTGGGGAATGATGTTATATACACCGTATCGCGGCCTATGCAGCACCTGATCTATGCCATGCTGGTCTCGTTCCATGACATGAATAGACGACTTCCTGGCTTCAATACAGTAACGGGTACCGCCCGGTGCAATCAACACTAAATTTACAGGACTTTGGAGGTACAATGCAAGACTATGATTTAGACAGGTAGCAGTTAATATACGTCGATTTAAATCGTATCGAAGTTCGTCCGACTGATGATGTCTGTCGAGAATTGAGCATGGCTAAAAAATAGTCCTCGATTGGGTTGACAAAGGAGAAAGGAAAAAGAAGAAAGAGAAAAGGGAAAAACATAATAGAGCTTCTCCGTTGTACCGAACACCGAGAGTATCACGCACTCGCCTAAAACAGTCCCAATGTTAAGATTCATTTCAGATATATCATCGTCCACAAACACTAATAGCCTCTCTGAACACAGTCAGCTCAGCCCTTAAACGTGTACACACCCGATCAAAAGAACCACAGGCCATGCCAAGCAATGCACAATAGTGCCAT